TTAAAGTCCTGCTTTCACAGCTACAACGCCAGCCTGTCAACACACACAAGAGCCTGTCTGTGTAACCCAATGATTTATTTCGCTAACGCACACTGTCCATGCTCAGGTTTGGCTCCCTTTGAGGGGCAACTACGACAGCACAGGAGAAAACCCTCCACTTTTCGGAGAGGAATGCTGCAGCGAGAGACTCCTACAAGAAGTCCTTACAACAGAGGGTCTGTAAGCCAACCAAACGAATTATCTGGAAGACTAAATGTGATGATAATTCCGCAGTTTTTTCTTTTTTGGCAAGCCTTCCTAAGCTTCCCAAGCCTTTTTTTTTAAACCAGCCAAGCCATACTTGAAGTCCCAACGCAAGCACCGGATCTGGCCGTATCAGCCATTTAAAGGAAAGTGCCCGCTGTTGCCCTTCCCTTCGCAGCTGACCAGCACACGCCTACAGGGAGACGCACAAACGATTTTTCTTCTGTAAACACACTGCACTAGTCAAAAGGTTTTCATCTTTAAATTTAATTAAAGAAAAATGTCTCAAAGTGATTAAGCATGTCTGACTTCCAGCTTCTTTTAATGGCACAAGCCAGTGCAGTAAACTGTAGAAAGCGAGCTCAGTTAGAATTTTGTTTTAATTAAAAAAAAGAAAACTCAAGATGTGAGGTCCTATTAAAAAAGTGGCCATTCACTTGTAAACAGAATAAAAATGTTAAGAACACAAAGTTTCATACAGCTTAAACAAACCCACTTTTCTTAAGCAGTACAAGTAATGTAACAACACCGTAAGAACACCAAGCGCAGAAAACAAAAAAAAAGGGCAGAAGAATCACATAACATTACTTACTAAAATGATAAATTATTTACATTGAATATTAATAGCTTGACATTTTTATTGCTCCAATGGTAGCGTGTTGACAAGCAACTGTAGTAAACTGTCATAGTGGGACAATAATAAACATATATTTATGTTTTTGCATATGGAGTTTTGTACCTATAAGGAAAGCACAGGAACTTCTTTTTTATTTATCAAGACCACACCAGATTTAGCAAAAATGTTTTCTGTTTTAAAGTCACTCATCTACAATTGAATCCACACTTCCTAGACTTGTCTGTGCATGTCTTGGAACACTTTTTTTCTCCCCTCCCACGGTAAAGCAACTTCACAGATGCAGGTGGGGAATCAGTAGGTAAGAGCTTTGATGCTCTGCCAGTATTCTTTAATATTTCAATACTCCTTAGATACAAAAACTTACTAGATACAAACCCAAGTATTTCCTAGATTAAGAACTAGAAAGGAAAGTTAGTGTCAACATGTCTATATGAAAAATTAAACACTGATTTGGTAGACAGTAACTGCTTTCAAAAACCTGCTGCAAACTCACACTACTGATGGTTACTAGTTCCCTTTTCTCCTTACTCTCCACACAATGCTTTCTCTGTCGCTGGAACCAGTCAAGGCACTTTCTTTACCACTTCCACTACACTTTGCTAACATTAATCTCCATTATATTGCTACAAATTCTTTCTCCAATTAACAAGTATCCTCCATAAACAGGTCTACCAATTCATGCTGACTTCTTATTGTCAAAAATGAGATTTTTGGTCCTGTAAGATATAATCACCCACTGAATGTTTTTGTGTTAAAGCAAAGGATAGTCCAGGCAAAAAAGAACCTGTTGGCAGAACAGAAGTGCACAGAGTTCACAGCAGTACTTACAGCTGCCTTCATCTTTAAACGAGCTACGGAACCTGTGTCTTTCAGATGCAAATATAACACTGTGTGCTGGTTTTGCATTTTAATACAAATTTATCTACTTACTAAAACATGGAGCTTACTGTAAATGGCAGGTTTGGCTCTCATGCTCTTTACTAGTTGCTTTATGGCCACATATTTAAATGTCTATGAAAACACAAAAAGAAGAGACCCTTTCATGGTTTGAAGACTATACAATTAACAATTACGAACAAAGTAAAATGTAAAGAATTTACATACTTAAAATGTAAACTTTAAAGACTAATATTCTGTGCTTAAGTCCCTCGCGGTGCCTAGGAGAGACCCAGGGGCAGACCATCTGCTGCTGGCAGAGCAGGCTGGGGCACTGGACGTGGCCAGGCCCTCGGGATGGGGACAAAGGGATGAGGGTTGGAAAGCAGAATGGAGATCTTCTCCCGTCTTGGATCTCTGGGCAGGTGGCAGCACGGGGTAGCCAGGGAGCAGCCCAGAGGGACTGGGGGCTCCTGCAGCTCAGGGTGGTCTCTCAGCTCGACACAGCACTTCACAGAAACAAGACAAATCAGGCTGAGAAATTTTGAACGGAGTGCGATGAATTCAGCACAGACTGAGGAGGATTTCTTCTAGCAGCAAGACTGAAGACTGCTCAGCACTCACCGCTGGCAGGTACTATAACTGTCCTTAGGCTTGCCTGTTCTCTCAGTTGGAAAAGAACATTTTCAAAATATAGTCACATAAAGAAGAAAATAAGAACCTGCTGAGATTTCTTGAGTTTCTCACACAAAAAATGAAAATTACTAACAAAGTTCTGGCATAACAGAAAGAAACTTCCATTGTTCTGTTAATTAAGCTAAGCTCCCTTTATTTACTCCAGAAACTTATTTGTAAAGGAAATACATAGAAATACGTGTGCTATTTCAGTTTTGGTTTACACTGCATTGTTCTGCCACTAAGTATTTTCTCTGCTTCCATTTAACACTCATCCTAAAAAAAATAAATTGGAGAGAACACTTTGCTTGGTTCTGTGATAGAAATCTGAGCTGCAAATTAAATTCAAAGAACACAGTAGTTTTTTATCCATTACGTTACAAATGCAGTTAAAGAGTTAGTTGTCACCAATCTACCAGTCAAACGATAACACTGCACCAAGTGTACTGATGTCAGAATCCGAAGCATCAGCCTGTGATATGGAAACGTACTGCCAGCGCTGGAGCCTGACACTCCTCAGCTGTACAGTAAGAACAGCACAAAATCTGATTCGAAGTCACAACTTGCATGAAACTGGCCTTCAGTAAATGCTGCGTACAAGAAATCTGACCTACTACAGTTATTAGAATGCAATGGTCTTGCAAATACTGTATTTTAATACAATATTGCATACTGATAAGATGCAAATACATTCGGAGGAAATCCCAAGTCATCCTGAAACTAAAAAGCAGCTTGGGATGATGTTGCAAGGAGTCAAGCTGCTGCAAAGAGATGCCTGGACACTTACAATGGTACTCATCACAACCTGCAGATACTCGGTCGTCTGCTGTTTCTTCTCCGCTTTCTTGTTTCTACTTAGGAAAGGGAGGGAACTTGCATTGGTTTTCATTTGCTTACTGCTATCAAGTGGTCTTGCTTAGGTCAGCCATTACAGGAAGTTTTTCTACAATTCCTTCCCTTCCTGAGATCAGGCAAACAGGAAAGAATCCAAAAATACTGGCAAATTCCACAAGGCATTTGTGGTTCTTCAGACTGCCTGAACACCAAAACGTATGCATGAACCCCTTCAGCTGATCTGCTTCCTCCTAGCTGCGTATTTTAAACAATACTCCGATCTAGATAAAATTTCTCTCCACCGGAAGGGATGCCGTGTCAGTTAACTGTTACAATGTTGAAGTACTATCACACTACAAAAATAATGGAAGTGTTACTTCAGCTTTGATTTGGCCGTTCCAAAGTTTTCTCCTTAGTAACGAAGGTCTCCAATTATGAAACATTTTTTTCCTTACTTAAAAAAAAAAAAACAAAACTTGACATACATATATTCCTAACTTAAACAGAGGCTTTAGGGTATTTTGCTAATAGCAGCCACCATCTACCCCACAAACGCAACTTTTTCACAGGTGAACAGTATTTAAGCTTCCTATTTCAGGTGCTACAAACAACACCTGAAATGCTTTAAAAAAAAAAAAAAAGGACAGAAATGCTATGCATTTTTCATCCATTTACTAAACAAAGTGCAACTGAGCCCTACACATCTGATCGTATGTACAAACTCATTATGGCTTTACCATAAAAGCAGCCTGTGAATGGTCTATACAATCAGAGGGATACTAGCCACTGCCATGAATAAAATGACGTCGGACTGTTGGCAATAGAATAAGAGCTATATTACATTCTGTAAACCTTGGCATACCACACTTTACATTATGCAAAGAGTCAATATTTACAAATGCGTAGTGGGTAAAATAATTAACCCCATAATGTAAATGATGATTTTGCAAAGTGCAGGACAAAACCAGTGCTGTTGATTGCAAGTCCTATGCAAGCAAGTTATACTAAAATCATTACTACTAGACGCTTACCTGGACATTTCTACTGAGGGTTTCTAGGATCGCGATGCTTAGAATGAAATAGAGTATGACATGGCATCAGGTTGCATGTTTGAGGACAGCAAACATAGAAATTAATAAGGCAGCATGCTCAGAACAAGTTTAAGCAGCACTGATGTTAGATCCCTAGTGGCAACTATATCAGTTAATGTTAAAAATTCAGAGTGCAACATAGAAGCCTCGTTTAACATAAAAAAAATGTGCAAATTGTTCTTTTCTTAACAAAAGAAAGTAACATAGCCAGGAAGATACTCTACTGAAGAACATTTTTAAGTCACAGCAAAGTAGACCATCTTCTTTCCAAAACCATCTACAAGGCACTAAGGGTAGAAAATGACAGGTAACGTGAAAGATCAAATGCTGTTCCTCAGTCAGGTCGGAATATGGGATATTTTGGTAAGAACTCTATTAATATTACCTGTTGGAGAAGAGAGAAAAGACAAGAACAGAACACAGTAACCAAAAGGTTCAAACCTTCAGCACACTTTCCATGCAACATTAGCTTGTACACAAGACTAAACATATCTGAGATCTTCTGTAAGGAGGGAATGTTTCCCAGAATAACAAAGCAGAGGTTTCAGTCATTTTGAAACACAGGGCTTTTGGACACTTGACTTTTTTGGGGTGACTATCTCTTTCTTTAAGCCTACACAATCTTCACGGCTATGCATGAAAGTGGATGGGGGAACAGTACGACCACAGAAATATTTCGAATTCTGCTTTCTTAAATGGACTGTCCGTCTTGGTTAAAACTTTATGAAATTCAGAGCTAGCAAAAAAGAAAAAACAAGATCCAGCCAAAAAAACCAACACTACTATAAAAATGCAGTATTTCTGCACAAAGAATTTGAATCAAAGTAATTATGAATACCAATGGAAAAGGTGGATAAGCATTAAAGAACTACGGAGTGGTGTGGGAGTCACACCAGTGGACAAAGTCCCAGTGGTCTGCCTCACTACTAATTACAGACCAAACCAAGTGCACCTGCAGTGCACACACAGAATTGTTATGAAGAGAAAACATGTTCGGTGGTGGCAGTTTCTCGATATACGCCATGGCAGCACTTGTTAAAAGTGGCCTTCACGGGTGTGCATCAAACACGACGGCACGTTTTACTGAGAGATTTTTTTGGATAGGTGACAGTCTAGTAAGTTAAGGATTTTTCTCTATAAAATCATAGGTATGTTGAATACCAAGTAAGTAACAGAAGTAATACTTACATATTCCATCATATTGCTAGTTTCGCATTTCCTTTTACTCAGCTTCCAGTGCAAACCAAGCTAAGAAAATAATCATCAAAGGATTAATGCGTACCACAGAGCGTTGTCTTGATAAGCAACGTACCAAGTATTAGCACTATCAAATTATTAGGCTCTGGAACACTTCAGACACAGCTTTAAGATCAGTATAAAGTATGGAATTATAACAAGACTGTAAAATTCCTACATGTCAGTTGCGCAAAAGAAAAAACAACTTACTATTCTTAAAGCTGAAGAAAACAAGCTCTCTAACTTCTTACCTTATGATATAGTCTGTTGTTTTCCCATTCTAATAACTTCTGAATTGATCTTCTAGTCTAAAAAGTAAGTCAAAACTGTATTATAAATGGTTCGGTAGCCAGCCTCACACAGAAGAATCTTACTACTGCATTTCTGGCTTAATTTAAAACAAGTTAGTTTTATAAAAGTAGAACTGAGCAGAAGAAAAACTATAAATGGAAGTCCTACCACTTCTACTCCCCACTCCTCGACATTAATTTCTGAAGATCTTCTTCAGAAAAAAAACCCACCCATGTTTGTTAATTCAGGACTGCAACTTTCCCGGGATTAATTTACTTTTAGTAAGAGATCCTTTTGAATTTAGTATTTTTGCCCACCATAGCCAAGCCAATAAAACAGCATCTCCCACATTCTCTTGGCCAAATACTGCGCTCACCACAGGCGGTCTCCTGACAACACATAATCTACATACCTGTAATTTCCAGATTTTACTCATGTAATTGTTCTCTGAATCCTGAAAAAAATCTCAATACCACAGGACTCCAGCTCACAAACCGTGCCTGTATTTTCAACTCGCAGATACCAAAGTCAGACCTTCCTGTTCTGCTCCTTCCACAGTTGTGGGTTAGGAGAAGATTTTTGGAGTTTCAGTGATTTTTAAGGTCACAAAAAGATGATCTACTCTAGTTCCTGCACGGTATGCCACAGAATTCCATCCACCAATTTCTTTCCTAAAGCTAATAATGGTAGGTGAGCTACACCACTCATTAAAAAAAGATACAAAGCTATCCAATCCTGAGTCAAAGACTTAATGGTGGAGAACCCACCACTTCTTTGTAAGTTTTTCCAGTGACAAAGCTATCCTTGGAATTAAAACGTACACATTGTCTCCCGTTTCAACTGCCTTCGTTTCATATTCCAGCCTTTGGATCCCATAATGCCTTTTGTTGCTAGGTGAGTGCATGGGGACTGGCTGGGCTGGAGTTAGTTTTCCTCACAGCAGCTTGTATGGTGCTGTGTTTTAGATCTATGACTAAAATAGTGTTGATACCACGTCAGTGCTTCAGCTGAACAGCACTGACCAAAGGGACACTCCATGCCCAGCAATAAAACCGGGGGCTCTTCTTTCCAAAGCAGCCCATTGCCCAGAGCCAGGCTGCGCATCAGGCTGCTGCTGGGAGGCGGCGAGTGATTTGCCGTTGCATCACTTGGGTTTTCTTCCCTTTTCCTCCATCACTTATTCAACTGTCTTCATCTCAGCATGTGACTTTTTCTTATTTTTGACCTTCTGACTCTCTCCCCTGTCCTGCTTGGGGGGGTTTGAGTAAGCAAGTGGCTGGTGGGTGCTTAGTTGCTGGCTGGGTTCAGCCCGACACAAGAGAAAATTAAGAACCATTTTATACTTGTGACTGTTGATGATCAAATCGCTCTAGCCTATACACACACACACCCCCAGAGAAGTAACATGATCTTCCCTACTCCTACTTGGCACGTATTATTTGTACCTTGGAGAATTACATTAGCACTGCAACATCACATGGGCATTTATTTAGATTTTCACTGGCATAAGAATATTAAATATGGTTTTAAAATTGCAAATATTCCATCTGTGTATCTTAGTCATATTCCTCTACAATAAGAACATTTATAAAGGTAGTTAAAATGAGCTAAACCAAGTCCTGTAACTTTTTAGTGATACAGGCTTCAGCGATCAGCAGTTCAACAAGTCACTATGCCGTTAGTGCATTTCATTTTTTTTTTTTTAAACCAAAGACTCAATGCCAGTCAATGCAACTGTGGTCTTCTGGAGCAAGCTGGAAAGTTTGGCAAAACGCTTCTGTCATATTGTCTCTGAAAAGCAATGACTATCTCTTGGTTTTGCTTTCAACTTGTTTTATTGAAGATCACAAACTCCCAGAAGGCAGAAGTATTACTTTTAAACAGATTTCTACTTGAAATCTTTTTCTATAATTAAATTGACAAGTGTGAGAGGTTTTTTCCTGGTGCACCTACAAACTATTTACATTTGTGGATAATAACATTTTATGGCTAGAAGTCTTACAAACTATGTAGCTGCAAAGAGTTATCATTACGCTAGATCAATTTACGTATTTCCTAGACATTTACTGCTGTGATAAATCAGTTCTAAATGCAAACCACAGAGGCAATCAGGATCATGCTTACTTGATATTCCTAAAGCACTTTTCAGAATTATTACTTTGCACCTCATTACAAGAAATGTCAACTTTTTGTTGAAAATAAATAAATTAACAAGTAAAGGGAAGTCTTTAAACTTCCTGAATAGAAAACAAATCTATGCTTGCTCTTAATACAAACAGCACAGTAAAACACATCAAATAAACTACAGCTCAGAAATGTTATGGTAGCTATTACATACAAAAAAGTGATTTTTAATTTAAAAAAATATTTATTCGGGCGGGTGAGGGGGTGAAAAGTAATTTTCACTCTGGTTCAGGCAATCTTTGAAGGTCAATGTCCAGTTCTGCACTCATTTAATTCAATTCTTAGACCTTCAGTAATCCTGGAAATTCAGGTTATCACTGAACAGGTACTCCATCCTGTTGTTTGAACTGAGACGGGATTAGCTACTCCTAAGACTATTAATGCAATTGATAATTTGGTATCATTTACTTCATTAACAATTTTTTTTTTTATTTTCTAAGGAATGGAAAACAGAATAACCTTTTGAATGCAAGTGAGACAAAAAAAAGGAGTTTTGAAATGGGGATGATACTATTAAATATTATTTAGTGTTACCAGTAATTGCAAAATAGATAAAGAAGCCCAAAACACGTACTTACTCTTTTGTTCAGACAGACTACAGGCCACAGGCTACAGCCCAGTGTGCAGCAGCAGCACACACAGCCACAAAGCAGCCATTTTATGTTGACAGGGAGATTCTTTCTTAAACAGGCATTCACACGACTGATGCTGGTCTTGAATTCTTCTGGGGCAACCTGCAACAGAAGTGCTGAACTTCAGTGGAAAGCCATTACAGGTGTATTTTCTCAAAAATTGCCTCTACAGATTAAAAGGTAAATGAAACGTAATACCATCACACATTATGACCCTATCTTCTGAAACACTGGTCACCCAGTGAGCACGAAAAGTCACTTTCCTGAAACAATTTATGGTGTTACGCTTTGCAAAAACTTGTGCTAAAAAGTTAAACACTGCTTAGATGAACACCCTCATCCTCATTTGTTGCACCATTAATAAATCAATTGTCCTGATGACACAGTGGCCTCAAACAAAACCAGAAGTGGGACACAGCTGTGCAACATATGCACTGGCTACGCTGACCAAAAAAATGGAAGAATGACAGATATCTGGTTTCTGAGAGAATGCAGGGCAGCTTTGCAGTAAAAACACATCACATGGAAAAAAAGGATAACATTGTCCAAATTAATTTCATACCAATGCAAGTCTACACTGTGCCTGGGTGAAGGTGGACCTCTGTCCACAAACAAATTCCTAAAATGGTCCATACCAACATGAGGCCACAACGTCACTTGTGGCTGCGTCTTAAAATAGGGAAGCCCGCAAAGACATATACAGGATTATATTCAAGGCAGAGAAATGCATCTTGTACAGGGCTATCAATAAAGCGTAGCTGTTGAAAAACAATTTATTTAAATTAAGGAATATTCAGCAGAGCTTACTCAAAATAGTATTTTCTATATATTGCCACTGCAGTCACGGTGGAAACCCACAGTTTCTATTAGAAATAAGCTCCTTTCTCTGATAGCAGCATGTTTCTTACAAGAGTGAGAGCACTTACCTATTTACATAGCCCAAATCCCTCATCTCTCTACAGAACCTAAATAACTTATATCTGACAAGTCAAGTATAGATTAGTGGTATTGACTCCAAGATGGCACTCTTAACTGTAACACAATCCAGCATTCGAACACACAAAGCAGGATAATCAGATCCACCTTCACACTGGACTAGTCAGGCACAACTACTCAAAAAAATAAAAATAAAAAAAATAATAAATTAAAAAAAAAAATTTCCTAACTACTTGCCATGTTGAAGAAAAAAACCCTTAGATTTAGTCTGTATACAAAGCTGTGCAACTACGACATAACCCTTCCAACCACGCCAGCCCAACTCTGCTCATCTGACTCTGCAAACAAGGGCAACAACAGCAGCAGCATTAATTTAATGACAAAGACTCCTTTCACCACAGGAGCAAAACTACGGGACAGGAAACGGAGAGGACCTGATCCTGCTGCCTCCGCCTATTCACAAGAGGTAAATTCATTAAAACACTGCAGGAAAGGGAGTAAATAAATACAACATCTGTTTCCTGGCCATTCAGATCACCATGCGGTACAGAGTCAGAGGTCATCTGGGTTTGTACACAAGCCAGGCCTACAGTCAGCAATACAAGAACATAATTTAACATTGTGATTATTTTATAGCTGGAATAAATAAGTACACAGAAAGTATTTCTTCTGCAATTATACAGACCCCCTCCGCCATATTAGACTTATAATGCTTCTTACATACACAAATGGAGCTAGTAAAAAAAATTTTCTTTGCACTGACTGAACATCAACATTTACATATATTTCACAACAGTGACTGGAAAATCAACACTTAAATATATTCTACAAAAGACATTTTAGTTGGAAAAAAAAAAAAAAAGGGGAAAGAAAGAAAATGGTAAAAACCACCAGAAATCCCATATATTGGGACATTTTCAATGAATGGAACAAAAATGACATTGTAACGTGGAAAAGTAGCCTGCACTTGCATGTACCTGAACAGAAGGTTTTACAGATCTCTTTGGCAATGCTGGCTCTCATATTTAGGATACCCCAAGTCTCAGATGTACGTCAGCAAGACCATTTCATCTTCAATGTGGGAGCAGGTTTTACGGTAAAGTACAAGCGGGGTGCTTGCACGCAGTACCAGTTACATTGCACAGCCTCTGCAGTCAGACGTGCTTCAAAGTAAACTGCGGTTATGTCCTTTAACAGATCAGCATTCTCAGCTCTTCAGGAAGTTTACATGTTCTTAACATGTAGATGTACACAAATGGCACTTTCTTTGATAAGTCTCTTAAAATTCGTACAATTCTGTTTATTTGAAAAATAAAAATAAGTAGGTTTTTTTTTTCTTGTCCCCATTAGCACTTTTGCAGTGAATTCCACTACGAAAAGAGAACGTTTCCTTTTCTATTAGATGTAAAGTTTACTGGACCTTGACAACAACACAGCCCAACCCCAAAGTACAGCTGTATAGATCTACCAAAGACATTGGAATCGCACAGTCTAGAATCCAGTTTAACATGAGAAACCTTATCATTAGTGACAGCATCCAACATGAAAAGAAATCAACCAGATTCTTAGATCCCAGCTGGCAAAAAAATCTGGGACAGCAAGTAAGCACTGGGATGGTCAAATTCCCTACTTCTGTGCTACTTTTCAGGGAGTCACTGTACACATCAGGGTAACAGTTTGATGATATTTTAGAACAACAAGGTTGAGTACTCCCCTTCCTGCGGAACACAGCACTGCAGATGGCTAAACTAGAAACAACTTTGGATGCCACCAAGAAACAGAGCAAATTCCTACTTCAGAAACGTTGGTATGAGGTTTACTTGGATATAGTATTACAAAAGCACCACTACTACCTGCTAATGCACCACATACTTTCACATAAAGGTGAATTTCCTAGTTGTAACATAAGATGAAATTACTTAAGAGAGTATGGGCTAACCCAAACTATTAGATGTATTTCTCCCTTTGAAAAATGAAAGGTAATCACAGTAAATATTTGTCAGTCAATAACACATCTTCATTTGAAAGCAACCAGTGACCAAGGCAAGTCTCGTTCTGTGAAAAACAGAAGCAAAACATAGTTTTGTTGCACTCAGTTTACAGCTCAATAACAGTTAAACTTTGTTACACAGTGACAAAGAATGAAATATCTGTAAATAAAACAACTGTTCTAACTTAATAATAAAATTATATCCAAATGAAGCAGTCAATAAGGAATTGTGTTGATTTTCTGCGATAATTTTAAATCTTGCCTTTCTTACAGGTAAAGATATTGAAAGGTTAATATGAAACGACTAACGTATTTTAAACAAACAGAGAATTCACAGTGCCTCCTGCACAGAGAAAGCTCCCTACGAAGTCTAGTTTTTGAGTAATTTTGGAAATCTCTTGGAGAGTTTCTGTCTGGGTCTTGAAAAGAATGAGATAAGTACATAGCTCCTGGCTGTGCGGTACACCTTGTAAAGAGACACTAGTTCCTTTTAGGTCTTTAAGGGAGGGTAAAAAAAACAAAAAAAAACATAAAAGGAAAGGAGGGGGTGTCATAATATTTTACAACAGGATGCAAGAGAATCTACAAACACAGGAAGACAGCAAGTAAAGCCCAGCAGGCCTGATCTTTCTCCTTCAGTCATCGTGATCACAAACCCTATCAATCACATGTTGCAATGGGATCACAATACCAAGACCACATTTTATGGCTTACATTTCCCTGCCTCGCACAGTAATCTCTGTGTAGGACCCTTATTGTGTTAAGATCAGGGCAGGAAACTCCACTTTCTTCCTTAAGGTTCACTGCCTCCATCATTTTCTTGTCACCTGGAGCAGTGTGTGCTATTGTGCTATAGATCACGAAGAGTATTTTGTTAAAAGCTTTTAAAGGTTTCTTTTAAAAGAATTAATAATCCTATAAAATTGTAGCATACAGAATTTAAATATAGCTAGAATTTAAATTTAGGCCAAAGTCCAATCATATTACTGAAAATTAAATAATGCCTCTGTATTAAGTGTAGTTGAATCTTTTCTTAAAATATTCCATTGAAAAGCATGCACTGTTTGAAAGCCTAGCTCAGTATTTGTAAACCAACTGAAGCTTGCATCTCATCCTGCAAGATAAATATTAACTTAATCTAGCTGAATTAGCTAGGCCCAGCCTCTGACCTACCTGGTATCTTCCTTTCCCTTATTGTTTTACTGTCTGTGTTTTATCCTCAAATATACACATTCACCTTTCCCCAAAAAGCACGAAATGTGTCTGATTTCAATATTTACGATGTAATTACACGCATCTTAGCTCTAGACTAATTTACAGTAACTACCCAGACTCTGTAAAAACCAGGAGATGAGGAGGTAGGGGAGATGGGCGAAGAAGGAAAGGTATTTCAGATTTCACAAAAAGAAAATTAGCAGAAGGTTTACTATCATCATTCTGTAGATGGGCAAACTGAGGGTCAGGAAGCTTAAGTAAATTCCTAAGACTACACAGCATCATAAATCCAAAAAGTTAGTGCTTCCGGGAGAAAGGTGTAGCTAGTTCTATTTATTTAGGATTTTTATCATGCATTGGAAAGATTTCATCCTGTGTTTGAAAACCTAGATCTTCATCTGTATTTATTAAAAAGAAAAACAATACCATAGAGAAATCTACCAACCCCACCTAACAGCTTCATCTTTGACACTCCATTAGCAGGTGGGATATATTACTACTATCAATTCACAGTGGACAACAAAGCCATTAAACATAATGTTACACAGACATTCTGAATAAAGTATGACATTGCCTCATACTGTGTACTAATGCAAGTTCACAGTAAACATTTTAATCACAAACTGTTAATATAAACAGTCACAATGCAACTCATAAATTGTGATTTCATAAAAAGTCAAACTTTGTGTTTTAAGAACAGTAAAAGATCTTAAAAGTGGTGTATCAATTGACTACAACACTTATTACTGTGAATTATTTATCAGGGCATTTGAAGAAAACCTACTTACTGGAAAAAACTGACTGAGCTTTCATTTGCAGGAGGAATAAAGGTGATTGACTGCCGCAACCAGTGGAAGAAGCAGATTATTCATTTCTTGCAATTCATGAAAGTATTAAAAACCAAAAAACCCACAACTGCGGTTTTTAATGTCTTTCATGGCAGCGTGTGGCAGGCAGTAAGAATTTGATCGGTGTTTTCCCCTCACAAAAAGGAACTAATTTATTTTCAAGGTGTTCTTACTCAGAAAGCCCCTCAAATCCACACAGCAGAAAAAGATAACAGGATATCAGGATTCTCAACAGAAAAAGCATACCCGTATAGGGCAAATCCCTGCTCACGTGGCTTACGCTGTCACTGATTAGATCCACAGAGCTAGCAGGGTAAATGCCAAGTAGAAGAAAAGAACTTCCTCTTTCCTCTGGCTGCTGAGTTACGTCCAAGCAGTCAACTGAACTTTTGTTCACCATTTAACAAGAGGAGGACAATCAAGCAGAAAATGTGACAGACATTAATGCCTATACTAAAATGTGTAGCTACGGAGGCTCAGATTTGTTACTTCTAATACACAGCAGTTATTTGAGAGAGACAAGAAGAGATGAAATGATACAATCAAATTAGGTTTTAACACATCCTGCTAGGTATTTTCTACAGGCTTATTTACAACTAATCACAACTTGACTAAAAGAACAGAACAACTATTATTTCCAAAAGGTATTCTGTGGCTTTTCAGTGATCAGAAAGAGCTTCACAGAGAAGAATAAGCCTTAGACATGCAAGGCAATGAAACGCAACTGGCCCTCACATCAGACACTGTGGAATCAGTACGGACTCCTCCTTTTGAGCTCAGTGAGATTCTGAAGCAAGGCCAGGGTTCCCAGGCTGACTTTTAACAATCAAAAACTCCAAACAGCAACCTGCTTTTCAATTGTACTGCTGTCAAAAAAGCTGGACAAATTCAACACAAGTATTTCATGCATTATACTCTAGGGTGAAAATGAAGGAGAAAAACCCTAGATGGACTTGGCAGAACCAAGAGCCGCCATCCAGCTGCAGTTTAGTACACTGTCCATATGACTCAACAGCTACTGCAAGAGGCTGCAGAGGCAGCCTAGTTGTATGGTATGACATTAGAGAAAGGAGGAAGAACCAAATAATTTTTTTCCTCACGAATTCTGGAAAAGATACACAAAGGCAATATAAAATGAAGCAAATGAAAAGCACTAAAAAGTGAAACAGCAGAAAGAAGAAAATCCAAGAGAAAAAGAAATAAGAATTTAAAAGTCTAAAAAAAGAAAATAATGTAGGATCATAACCAATAAGTTTGCTACAAGATCTCATTAATTAATACCTACAAATGGATATTTATTAAACTTGCAATTAGTAAGATGACAGGACTCCAGAGAAAACAAGACTTGTCACCACTGATTTTCAGAACTAAGCAAGTATTATATTTCTGAAAATGTACTGAAAACCTACTTAAATTGTATATTTATCACTATAATGTTTTGTTCCTTAAAGTTTCAGATAAAACAGATTCTCTTCCAGAGATCTGTCTAAATATAAACTCAAGGCTTGACAGACATATTAAAAAGCGAGGCTTAGTATTTGCAATAATTGAATTCACACAGGAGGTAGCGCAAACTCCCGATATCTATAAAGCAAGGTTAAGTGAGTCTTGCTCTCATGCAGATCGCCTGCATGCAAGCAGTATGCCGCCATGCTGAGCTCTGCTGTCTCTGGAACATCAGTAACGACAGCAATCACTGCAGATCATTTTTTCTTGTTTCTAAGCACACCGCAGGGACTGCTCATCAGCCAGTGAGTTCATACCGGACAGAGTTAATTCAACAGGCTTCAGTGCAATGCTGGCCTGCACGGTGGAGTCATGAGCACGTATCTGTAACACAGAAACCACTGGACGCACTGCATCTTTCCATTGAAAAGAACAGTTTAATCTCACACTTACCTTCCCTGTCAGAACAGAAGGAAATTCTGTATCAAACTTGTTGCTCAAGCCAAACCTTGAAAACAAAAGAGACAAACAAAATATATTCCACCTAACTTACTTTGATTCCCTTAATAAAAAAAATTAATAGATTTTGTACTTAAAAAAAACCCCCACTATTAAATTCTTTTGCCCTTACATTTACATCATTTCACGAGCTTTCAATCTAAGTTTATATCAAGTCTCGTGTATCATTCATAAGGTCATTTGTAAGACAGAGCAATATAGCTTGTTTCCTTACTTCAATACCTTCAAATTGCTAAAAGCACAAAAACTTTTTACGATTGGATGGCATTAAGTTTCAACATTTGCTTTAAGAAAAAAAGCTCCAGCTATTAAATTTCAGTTTTACTAGGTTCAATAATCCTTTTACTGCTAATTTTCTTACTCATGCAGTTTATTCACATGCAACACATCAAGCTAGTTATAAGGAAGCCATTCATCACATTAGAAATTCATAACCATATAGTTTTAAAAAATTGCTCTGGGCTGGGTTAAACTATCTCATGCAAAACATGTAAAAGCCTACACAGAGAACAGTGTTAAAACAACTCCCAACTTCAAGAAACTAAGTTGTAGGTATCACTGTGGCTATTCTTCATTGAAGTGTTCTTTTTATTGAGCAAGAGGTAAGTCTTCTTTATAACCAGTGAAACCCACAGGGAGCTAGACTTTGGTGCTAAACCTGCATTACCACTAGCTCCAAAACCACTGAACCAACTGAAATTTCCAAGAAGCTGGTGGTGTAGATCAGCAGGATGCCAACAGTGCAGGATGACTTGACTTTTTCATTGTATTTAAAGCATGTAAGTAAGCAAGAAGTTAACTAAGCTCTGCCGCTAAATCTGCTGGCTTCTACAGAACAAGAACTCTGATGCCCCATCCTCTCTACCTCACTTGAAAGCTTTAACCTTTGCCGTTCAGTAATTTAACAAAATACAACAGCAGCTGACATCTCAGCTACAACCTTTATGTTTGAGCAGAGCTTAATGTTAAGTTTGTAAAGTTAAATATACTGTACATCAAGTTCATTGTCAGCTCTGCTAAATTACCTCCTGAGTAATTTTGTTAAAAAAAAAAAAAAAAGAAGAAAAAAAGCAAAATGATCACAGCCAAAAGAGGAGCATGAATACATCTGGTATTGTAGCATTTATTGTAGAAACAAACCTTCTGGAGAGAGAGGATTTGCTCCGAGTCAAACTGACACCTAAAGTACTCCTTACTGGTCACTTGTACAAAAACTAGTACTGCTGAAGGGCGATCAGTCCCCCAGCATTCTCTAACACACACCTACTTATGCGCACCGTGTAGTAATTCAGATGTTCCGAACTTGGCAATATAACTTGCTTAGAAGCACACAAAAATGTAAAATAAACCTTTAAGAAGAGAGAACTATAATAAAAGAACTTGTGCTGTCTTTAGAAATCCAGTAAGCTAATTAAAATGTTTGTCAACAATACTGGTGAAATCCAATCAAGTTCTTCACTGGCTAATTTTAGCCTTGACTCTTGTAAAGTGCAGCATGTTGGAGCACTAGTTGTGTAAAACATTAAAGAAAACCCCAACGCGTGGATCTTAATTGAAGTATTTCTCCACCTTCGTCTCTTGTGCTCTTCAAAGCTCTGTGACCAACTGCCACCTACTCGTGTCTGTTTCATTCAACGTATTTTCACTGAAAAGTTTCTGGAAGTGAACGTGAGTGAACTGAACATCAGCACAGCATGGCCTACTGCAAATTCCAGTGAACCGGGGAGCCATGATGTTAAATCAGTGCTCCAAAAGCAGTAAAAACAATAAGATTTTAGGCAAGCACAAAGATAAGGAATATAAGCACATTTCCATTCTCTGCGAATCTAATCTGGCAAGTCAGCCTCCACATTTTGCAGCTTTTCTTTTTAAGCTGAAATCCAAGTTTTGTTATACTGTATTTTTAAGGAAGCTTGAGAAGGAATAAGGTAGTCTTTTCAGTCTTTAAAAAAATCCAGAGAAGACTAAGGATATGAATCACATACATAAGCCTGTTTTGTGGAATACAGACTTTTCTGTGTATCAGCAACAAAACTACCTGGAACGCTCACCAAGTTGCAGCAACCAGACAACATAATAAACGAACTACTGGAAAGTCCAGGCAATACTGCAGAATTATTTACTCTACCCGTGTAACAGACCAACTCCACTAAATGATGCCAAAGGTCCACCCAGCCCAGAACACAACTCTTACAGCGGCCAGCAGCATATGTCCAGGAAACAGCAAAAGGGAAAAAAAATGCAAACGCGTAGTGGCATTTCCCCAGAACACTATTCTGACCTTCAATTCATAGTTCAAAAACTTCCAAAGCCATAAGTGGTGGTTTTTATCTCACTGGTCACACATACTCATTAAAATTTCTCATTGCATCCCCCATTTCCATAAAGAATAACAGAAATCAATGCTGATTTAAATCTGTTAAGAATACAATACCGCAATACATTTTATTATGTTAAATTTGAAGGCTGATGTCATGACACATATTTAAAATCCGAAAGTTTTATCAGTTGCCAAAACATTCCATTCAGCTATAACACATTCGAAATGCCACTCTTTGACAGCTGCAAATGGCTAAAAGAATACAACAGGTTTTGACTATACTGAAAATAGGACTGTGCTACACTAGAATACCACGTTTAGTCAGCATCACTGATGGCCTTTAGCACAGTTTTACTAAAGTGTCTCTAGAAGTTTTACAGACTGTCCTCGTGATGATTTACCACATAGCTCAGAAACATAAAACTCCTCTTACATGGGGCGGGGGGATTCAAGAACCAAAGCATTCTGTTAAAGCAGAATGTTGTACAGTTCTACAGCTTTGTAAGCAACTTTGTAAGAGTACTGAAGGGTTACTAGTATATTTAATCTAAAAAAGACAGAAAGTCTTGATTAAGACTTCATTAGACCTTCTACAGCAGACTAATAATCTAGCATGACTTGGCCTATGAAGTCTTTTAAAATTCAGTACATTTAAAAATCACTATGTAAAATGAGTTCCAGTACCTGTCCTGGAAATCATTTAAAACATCAGTTGGTGGCAACTTCCTTCCGGGCTAGTTCTCCACGTCCTCACTGTAAGCTGCCCAAAGGCTATCATTCAGAAATTCAGGTAAATCACCCCTATACCTCAGCTGTGATTTTCTCGCCGGATGACAAACCTCTCTGAAATCAAAGCACTGCTGCCCATAGGCAACAACACTGGAACAGAACCAGGATGACCTCACTTTCTAGTTCTCTCTGTCTCTCTCCCTGTTTTAATGTATGGCAGCAGACAAGCCCTGTCATCTCATTTTCTCTCATTTGTAAAGTGGACAGAATGCAACTTCTCATACAGAGCTGTAGTAAGATACATTCATAAATCACACATGAATTAAAGTCTGAAAGGAACACCCTCAATCATCAGTTGCAAACGCCAGCTGCAAAAGGTATCCCATTATGACATTCTTTCCATTAGTTCGCAAAGCACAAGGAAGTACGGTCTCCTGTCCCCAGAACTGAAGAGGGAAGGTTTTGGAAAACACTTTCTCATATCAAGAACAGACATATTTACGGGTGCTTTGCTTTTTTTCCCCCTTTTGACTTAAATAGTCCTTCATTCTTGTTTATGCCACTACTGTATTTATAGATAGTAATGAGCCTTACGGGACTACACAAGCTAAACCTGTTTAGTCAACTCCCGTATGATGGGGCTCTGCAACCTCCTTTCAGCACAGCTCCTTTCCCCACACCTAAACCAGGTTAAGTTTAGCCCATCTTGAACAGATGAACTCAGATTCTACATACTATTCTTTATGAGGAATCATCTTAGCTTTGTCCAACATTAGAGAATAAAGACGTTCATCAAGAGCCCTGAACTGAGTTCTCCTTTAACACTTGGCACTTCCCTCCCTCGTCTAGGACCTTTCCCTATGAAGCCAACAGAATCTGGAACTGAAGAGTGTCCTTACCCACAGATGACCTTTTGGAAAACAAAGTTTTTGATAACTAGTGGAAGGCTGAGGTCATTTGCTATTCCAAATATGTGGAATCTGCTATTTTAAATATGCAGAAGGTGGAGTAATATCAGATAATAATCAAATGTCATCTTATCACTAGGGACAGCACCTGGTTCTTCCCTGCCTTCCCTAACTGATGACAATACGCTTTTCAGTAGCACCTGGACTGTGGATCCCTGGGGCACTCCTAAGAAAACAATGGAGTAACAAAAGTTAACTTGTATCCAAAAGCAGGTTTGCAGACTGAAGCAGGAATCACAAGCGGCACACTAAGCGCAGAAATACCCTTAATGGCTTTTACTGTCCATCCACATGGACTTCATGATATAGAAAAATTCCATCAGATAAATAAAAACTTATTATCAAGTTAGAGGTTGTTTACTGCTCTGTTTTTGAAAGTTATCACCATTGCTTTGAGAGGCATATGACTCAGTCTTCACTAAAATTGTATTGAGATATTTGGATACACCAACCAGAGTCACACTGACTGTGCAAGAAACAGCGAACAATGGGCTTGTAACTCACTAAAATGGAATTTCAGAAGCAAACAAAAAGCATTTACTAGGTCCTAGTCATTTCTCTGTGCTAAAATTCAAAAGCTTTCTGAAAACAATAAATATGAATGATAGTTAATTTTTTCAAAGTAAGAATATTCTAGAGTGAAAAAGCATTGAACAAGATGAGCATAAATTTTGCTAACCGCTTTCACACACATTCTCTTTCTGTGAGTAAAATAAAACAAATACACTTCGCATGATCACTCTTACCATGCACAGGGGTAAAAGGGTTAGCAAAACAGTCAGTGGAAAAAGCAAGATCCTGCTAAAAACCCTCAGAAGATTCCTAGAATTTGTATTTAGTACTGTTCGATACTGCAGTAGAACTCTGTTAGCGTCAGCAGCTCATTGACAAGGTTATAAGAATAAAAACTCTCATGCAAGAAACTAATACAGAGTTTTAATCTACTTGGGAGTTTTACAAGAGGAGCGTACA